GCAGATCGCAGCCCCCCAGAGGGCGCCGCGAGGTCTCGAGATGATCCGCGTGTATCCCAACTCCGCTGGGCCTCCCAGGAGCCCCACGAAATTGGCGAACAGTTGCCAGATCGCAGCCCCCCAGAGGGCGCCGCAGGTCCCGAGGTGATCCGCGGTGAGTTGTGCAGATCGCAACCTCCCCAGAGGGCGCCGCGAGGTCTCGAGGTATCCGCGTGTAATCCCAACTCCCGCTGGGCCTCCCAGGAGCCCACGAAGTGGCGACCGTTGCCCAGATCGCATCCCCCCAGAGGGCGCCGCGAGTCTCGAGTGACGCCGCGTGGCATCCCAACTCGCTGGCCTCCAGGCGGGCCCACGAAAGTGGCGACAGTTGCGCAGATCGCAGCCCCGCCAGAGGCGCCGCGAGTCCTCGAGTGATCCCGTGTATCCCAACTCGCTGGGGCCTCCCCAGAGAGCCCGACGAAATTGGCGACAGTTTTTGCGCAGATCGCAGCCCCCCAGAGGGCGCCGCGAGGTCTCGAGGTGATCCGCGTGTATCCCAACTCCGCTGGGCCTCCCAGGAGCCCACGAAAGTGGCGACTGTTGCGCAAATCGCAGCCCCCCAGAGGGCGCCGCGAGGTCTCGAGGTGATCCGCGTGTATCCCAACTCCGCTGGGCCTCCCAGGAGCCCACGGAAGTGGCGACAGTTGCGCAGATCGCAGCCCCCCAGAGGGCGCCGCGAGGTCTCGAGGTGACCCGCGTGTATCCCAACTCCGCTGGGCCTCCCAGGAGCCCACGAAAGTGGCGACAGTGGCGCAGATCGCAGCCCCCCAGAGGGCGCCGCGAGGTCTCGAGGTGATCCGCGTGTATCCCAACGCGGCTGGGCCTCTTCCCAGGAAGCCACGCAAGTGGCGAAAGTTGCGCAGATCGCAGCCCCCCAGAGGCGCCGCGAGGTACTCCGAGGTGATCCGCGTGTTCCCCAATCCGCTGGGCCTCCCAGGAGCCACGAAAGTGGCGACAGTTGCGCGATCGCAGCCCTAGAGGGCTCCCCAGGGGCACGGAGGTGATCCGCGTTGGACGTACCTCCGCTGGGCCTCCCAGGAGCCCACGAAAGTGGCGACAGTTGCGCAGATCGCAGCCCCCAAGGGCGCCGCGAGGTCTCGAGGTGACCCCGGGTATCCCAATTCCGCTGGACTCCCAGGAGCCACGAAAGAATGCACAGTTGCGCAGGATCGCAGCCCCCCAGAGGCGCCGCGAGTCTCGAGGTGATCCGCGGTATCCACTCTGCCTGGAGGTCCCAGGAGCCCACGAAAAATGCGACATGTTGCGCAATCGCAGCCCCCAAGGGCGCCGCGAGGTCTCGCGATGAGTCCTCGTGTATCCCAACTCCGCTGGGCCTCCCAGGAGCCCACGAAATTGGCGACAGTTTGCGCAGATCGCAGCTCCCAGAGGGCGCCGCGAGTCTCGAGTTGATCCGCGTGGGAGTTATGCAGATCGCAACCCCCCAGAGGGCGCCGCGAGGTCTCGAGGTGATCCGCGTGTATCCCAACTCCGCTGGGCCTCCCAGGAGCCCACGAAAGTGGCGACAGTTGCGCAGATCGCAGCCCCCCAGAGGGCGCCGCGAGGTCACGAGGTGATCCGCGCGTATCCCAACTCCGCTGGGCCTCCCAGGAGCCCACGAAAGTGGCGACAGTTGCGCAGATCGCAGCCCCCCAGAGGGCGCCGCGAGGTCTCGAGGTGATCCGCGCGTATCCCAACTCCGCTGGGCCTCCCAGGAGCCCGCGAAAGTGGCGACAGTTGCGCAGATCGCAGCCCCCCAGAGGGCGCCGCGAGGTCTCGAGGTGATCCGCGCGTATCCCAACTCCGCTGGGCCTCCCAGGAGCCCGCGAAAGTGGCGACAGTTGCGCAGATCGCAGCCCCCCAGAGGGCGCCGCGAGGTCTCGAGGTGATCCGCGCGTATCCCAACTCCGCTGGGCCTCCCAGGAGCCCGCGAAAGTGGCGACAGTTGCGCAGATCGCAGCCCCCCAGAGGGCGCCGCGAGGTCTCGAGGTGATCCGCGCGTATCCCAACTCCGCTGGGCCTCCCAGGAACCCACGAAAGTGGCGACAGTTGCGCAGATCGCAGCCCCCCAGAGGGCGCCGCGAGGAGGAGGTAGGAGGCGGGAGGGGGGTGGGCGGGAGTGCGGGAGGGAGGTGGGCGGGAGGGAGGTAGGAGGCGGGAGGGAGGCGACCAGAGTGCTCTATTCAAAACGAGTACCCAACCAAGGGAGGGTTGGGAAAAACTCTGCGCCTGCGGCTGGCTTCTTCAGAGCCCTGGATGTTCAAAGTACGGGGGCCGCACTCCATCCGCCTGTACAGCCGCCCATCGGTCGTTGAACGCAGGTCAGAGTAAGGGCTCCCACGAGGGCGCGAAGTTTTTCGCGCTTCGCGGTCCTCGTTCCTTCTCCCCCTCCTCCTCGTCCTCATGTTTTCCCTTTGGGGGGAAGCGCGAGAGCGCGAAGTTATTCGCGCTTCGCGGAGCGCGAAGCTCGAAGTTGGGAGCCCTACGCAGGTCAGAGTGAGGGGGCCGAACGGTAATTCATTGTCCCTGGGTGCGGCTGAAGTGGGAATCCGTGGTGAGGTTTCTGCTTGCTCAGAGCCTCGCAGACTGCCGACGTCCCCGCCGCCCCCATCACTCTTAGCCGCAATTGCGGGGGGCTACGTATTTGTGGGACTCCCAGGTTTCCCAATCCTGCTCCAGGCGCCTGCAAGTACGTACCCATCGGTCGTTGAACGTAGGTATTGGTGGGACTCCCAGATTTCCCGATCCTGCTTCAGGCGCCTGCAATTACGTACCCATCGGTCGTTGAACGTAGGTATTGGTGGGACTCCCAGATTTCCCGATCCTGCTTCAGGCGCCTGCAATTACATACCCATCGGTCGTTGAAGGTTGGTATGTTTGGAATTCCCAGGTTTCCCAATCTACTTCAAGCGCCTCAAATACGTACCCATCGGTCGTTGAAGGTAGGTATGTTGGGATTCCCAGATGTCCCTATCTACTTTCGGCGCCTTCCTACTTCAATGATCGAGTGGCTTCCCCCCTTCGCTCCTGTTCACGGGGGCGGACGGAGACCCAATCTGCTTTCAACGCCTTCCTGCTTCATGGTGCTACCTACTTCTTCCGACCGATTGGTAGGGCCATCAGCTCGGATGACGTGTTCACCGGGAGCCCCATATCAAGCGAGGGAGCCACCCTCCACGGGTGCAGTTGTTACGGTCGGGAACGGTTGGGTAGCGTGTCGTTCCACCGGGTCTGGCCCACCACGCTTCGGCACGTCACGCTATCTTTCCCAGTCCCTGAACGTCAACGTCCCGAACCTTTCCCAGCCTCTCGCTCAGCGGAGCGGAGCGACACGATATCCACTCGCAGGGCATAGCGTGTATCCAGGGCCGCCGCCGCAACACGCTACGCAAAATTCCCCGACCGTAGGCTGTGTTCAACTTCGGTCGTACAGCTGGAGAAATTTCAGCCGAGAGCAACAAGCATTGCGGTAAGTGTTGCGCAGCTTTCAAATACCGTTAATAAGGGACAGAGGTTGCAAGCGAGGGCACGAATTTGAAAACTAGCTCCATCCGTGTGCTGGTTCGGGGTGTTCAGGACGAGTGTGCACGGCGCGAAGGCGAGAGCCACATACAGAACCCAGCTGGTGCTCCATCCGTGAAACAGTTGGCAGGTTTGAAGACGAATGTGCGCGGCGCGAAGGCGAGAGCCAGGTAGGACGAGGATGAGAAATAATAATCATAAGAAGAATATTAAGCAGGAGGAAGAAAGGGGGCGTATGATGTTGTTGATGATGCTGCTGCTGCTGCTGCTGCTGATGATGATGATGATGATGATGATGATGATGATAGTTACGTTGGTCATGATCATGGTGGTGCTGATGATGATGGTGGTCACGATGACGATGATGATGCTAATGATGATGCTGATAATGATGCTGCTGATGATGGTGATGGTGATGGTGAGGATGCTGATGATGCTGATGCTGATGCCGATGATGATGCTGATGATGATGGTGATGATGATGATGCTGTGACTGATGCTGATGATGATGCTGATGATGACAATGACGATGATGCTGATGATGCTGATGATGCTGCTGATGATGATAATGATGATGCTGATGCTGCTGCAAATGATGATGCTGCTGATGATGAGGATGATGCTGACCATGCTGGTGATGCTGCTGATGATGGTGATGCTGATAATGCTGATGATGATGCTGATGATGCTGATGATGATGACGACGATGATGATGCTTCACATGAGAATGATGATGATGATGATCATGATGATGATGCTGATGCTGATAATGATAATGATAATGATAATGATAATGATACTGATGATGATGATGATGATGATGATGCTGATGCTGATGCTGATGCTGATGTTGATGCTGATGCTGCTGATGCTGATGAGGATGAGGACGAGGATGAGGATGAGGATGAGGATGAGGATAATGATGATGATGATGACGATGACGATGATGATGATGATGATTACGATGACGATGACGATGACGATGATGATACTGATTGTGATGATGATGCTGATGATGATGATGATGGTGATGATGATGATGGTGATCATGATGCTGACGATGATGAGGATGATGATGATGATGATGATGATGATGATGATGATGATGATGATGATGATGATGATGATGATGATGATGATGATGATGACGACGACGATGACGACGACGACGAGGGCGAGGGTGATCAGGAGGAGGAAGACGAGGGTGATCAGGAGGAGGAGGAGGAGGGCGAGGAGGAGGAGGAGGAGGAGGAGGAGGACGAGGACGAGGAGGAGGACGAGGAGGACGAGGAGGACGAGGAGTTCGAGGAGGACGAGGAGGAGCAGTGCCGCGGGAGCGCGCACGTGGGACGCGCGAGGGCCCCGTACGGGAGGCGCGCGAGGCCGCCGCCGTCCCTCGGGCCCGAGCGGGCTCGGCCCCCCCGGCCGGCCGGGCGGCGCAGCCCCATGGCATGGCAGGGCCGGACGCCCCGCACCTCCCCACCCTGCCGGAGGTGTCGCGCAGGGGAGCGAGTAGAGTGCCGAACCCAGGCATGATCGCGTCGTAAGAAAATCAGGACGGCAAATTTTGCCCTCGTCGGGCCCGGGGACCGTCAAAAAACGACTCAGGACGAAAAACCAGTCCCGGGGAAATGGTCGGGACTTTTTCGGGGAAGCGAAAGGGGAGCGACTAGAGTGTTGATGGGCCTGTTTTGCACCACCACCCCCACCACAAGTTGTAGGGGGAGGGGGTCCTCTCCTGCTCCTCCTCCTCCTCCTCCTCCTCCTCCTCCTCCTCCTCCTCCTCCTTCTCTTCGTCCCCCTACTCCTCCTCGTCCTCCACCTCCATCCCCTCTCCAACTTATGGTGGTGGTGGTGGTGGTGGAAAACAGGCCCATCACAGTGTCAAAGAGGAACAAACTTGGGTATGGCCAGGACCCCAGGTAAGGGGACCCCGTAAGTATTAGGGCCCTGGGGCCCCCCAAGTTTGCCAGAATCGCTAAAAACCAGGTCTGCAGTAGCTGGTGTTTTTTCGGGTGACGGCAGTTCCAGTTAGTGGAACGGGCGGGGGGGGCGTCCCCCAGAGCACATCACTAAACCAGGTCCCACTAAACCCAGTTCTGCCAACGCCCGAAAAACGCCATAAACACAAACTTTTGGCGCTCCGCGCGGATTTTCTTGAATCTGCGCTGCACCCCCCTCCTTGGCGCGCGGAGCGCGCCAGGGGCGGCGCCAGAGGCGCCGCGGGGGTGGGCCCAGCGCGGATCCAAGAAGTCCGCTCGGAGCGCCAAAAGTTTACGTTCATGGCGTTGTTTTTTCTTTGCAATGGGGACCCATGCCAAGAAGCGGGAGCCCCCTCCCTATGGGGCCCGCACTTCATGTTCGAATCCGAGCGGGTCATCCGTAACGTGTAACTGTCGTCACTTTTGGGCTCTTGAGGCCTGAATATGGAGGAAGTATCAGGCGGGAGCCTCGTCTGTGAGTGAATTGTGAGGAAGTCTCAGGCGGGAGCCCCTCCCTATGGGGCCCGCACTTCATGTTCGAATCCGAGCGGGTCATCCGCAACGTGCAACTCTCGTCACTTTTGAGCTCTTGAGACCTGAGCATGGAGGAAGTCTCGAGCGGGAGCCTCGTCTGTGAGTGAATTGCGAGGAAGTCTCAGGCGGGAGCCCCCTCCCTATGGGGCCCGCACTTCATGTTCGAATCCGAGCGGGTCATCCGTAACGTGTAACTGTCGTCACTTTTGGGCTCTTGAGGCCTGAATATGGAGGAAGTATCAGGCGGGAGCCCCGTCTGTGAGTGAATTGTGAGGAAGTCTCAGGCGGGAGCCCCCTCCCTATGGGGCCCGCATTTCATTTTCGAATCCGAGCGGGTCATCCGCAACGTGCAGCTGTCGTCACTTTTGAACTCTTGAGACCTGGATATGGAGAAAGTCTCGAGCTGGAGCTTCGTCTGTGAGTGAATTGTCAGGAAGTCTCAGGCGGGAGCCCCCTCCCTATGGGGCCCGCACTTCATGTTCGAATCCGAGCGGGTCATCCGCCACGTGCAACTGTCGTCACTTTTGGGCTCTTGAGACTTGAATATGGAGGAAGTTTCGAGCGGGAGCATCGTCTGTGAGTGAATTGCGAGGAAGTCTCAGGCGGGAGCCCCCTCCCTATGGGGCCCGCACTTCATGTTCGAATCCGAGCGGGTCATCCGCAACGTGTAATTGTCGTCATTTTTGGGCTCTTGAGGCCTGAATATGGAGGAAGTCTCGAGCGGCAGCCTCGTCTGTGAGTGAATTGTGAGGAAGTCTCAGGCGGGAGCCCCCTCCCGATGGGGCCCGCACTTCATGTTCGAATCCGAGCGGGTCATCCGCAACGTGTAACTGTCGTCACTTTTGAGCTCTTGAGACCTGAATATGGAGGAAGTCGCGAGCGGGAGCTTCGTCTGTGAGTGAATTGCGAGGAAGTCTCAGGCGGGAGACCCCTCCCTATGGGGCCCGCGCTTCATGTTCGAATCCGAGCGGGCTATCCGCAACGTGTAACTGTCGTCACTTTTGGGCTCTTGAGGCCTGAATATGAGGAAGTATCAGGCGGGAGCCTCGTCTGTGAGTGAATTGCGAGGAAGTCTCAGGCGGGAGCCCCCTCCCTATGGGGCCCGCACTTCATGTTCGAATCCGAGCGGGTCATCCGCAACGTGCAACTGTCGTCACTTTTGGCTCTTGAGACCTGAATATGGAGGAAGTCTCGAGCGGGAGCCTCGTCTGTGAGTGAAGTGTGAGGAAGTCTCAGGCGGGAGCCCCCTCCCTATGGGGCCCGCACTTCATGTTCGAATCCGAGCGGGTCATCCGCAACGTGCAACTGTCGTCACTTTTGGGCTCTTGAGACCTGAATATGGAGGAAGTCTCGAGCGGGAGCCTACGGCCCAGCCCGAAGGTTTGTCCCGACGGCTTCGCGATCTAGCCGTCGGCAGACGCGCGCGCGCTGGCCGAGGCGGCGACGGCGCTGAGGAAAATGGATTTGCTTGCCCCGACGAGGGGGAAGGGGAGGTGCACATGGAGAAAAGGCAGGGGGATGAGGAGGGAAGGGGCATGGGGGAGGCCGACGACGAGGAGGAGGTGGCGCGAGAGGAGGAGGAGGAGGAGGAGGAGGAGGAGGAGGAGGAGGAGGAGGAGGAGGAGGAGGAGGAGAAAGAGGAGGAGGAAGAGAAATAGAAGGGGGAAGAGAGGGCAGTGCAGGGGGCGAGAGGAGAGGGTGTCCGCCAGGGGGAGAAGGAAAGGGCAAAGGGTAAGCTAAACAGATTCTCATGCGGGGTCCTACCGTCGGAGTAATTTTCTGCAATGGGTACCCATGCCAAGAAAAACCCTGCTTGCTTCCAGGGTGCCATGGGCTTCTTGGGTTTCGATGGTTTCGCCGTGGAAAGGGTGACGCCCCCACGCCAAAAGCCAAGGGACGTCATGGGGTCTCGGGGTTGGGTTTCTTGTGGAAGGTTTCTTGTGGTCGGGGCACCACTGTGCAGAAGTGGCTAACCCAAAAGGAATCTGCTCTTCGACTCTACTGGAACTCGGAGTTCTCATTCGATTTACGACCATTATCTACGCATTCGTCGTAGGTTCGATGGGGAAAATCCATTGTGGGGGGAGTCAACTCTGTAGTCGGTCCCCTGCTCGAAGGTTGTCGGGGAGGGCAGGTTTCGCCGCGGCCCCCAGATCGGCGAGGGGAACTTCGGCGTCGTCTTCTCCGGCACCGACCTGGGGACGGGCGGCAAGGTGGCCATCAAGTTCGAGAAGCGGGGCGTGCGGCACCCGCAGCTCCTCCACGAGGCGCACGTCCTCACGATCCTGGGGGGCGCCCCTGGCTTCGCCCGCGTGCACTGGACCGGCCTGACCGATGATTGCCCGACCATCGGAGGAATAAGCTCACCACCCACCAAGCCACCCCACGAAGGTCCAAAGTTACCCTCGACTTCCAGTGTGTGGGGGGGTCGGGGGACAGCGTAACACACACATGTGGAACCCGTACCCCCCCAACCCGAAATTCGGGTCTTCGGGTTGGGTTGGGGTGGTCCGGCAGGTAGCCATAAGCACCTGCACGGACGGCGACTTTTGGCGGCCGGCGTGGGTTTCGTGGATCGGCGCTGGGCCCTCCTGGCGGCGCCTCGGGCGCCGCCCCTGGCGCGCCCCGGGCGCCCAGCAGAGGGGCCCAGTGCCGATGCAAGAGATTCGGGACGACCGACAGGGGCACGGAAAGAGGGGGCACAAAGACCGACGGCAGTTCTGGTTCATTTTGAGCAGGATTCGCTGTCGGCGTCGCCGCGGACTGTGTCCGTTTGGGACAGCAGGCCGCCTGCCACACGGCGGCCGCTGCTGGTTCGGGACAGCAGTTGCTGTTGGGCATTGTGCCCACTGCTTCCGTACCAATTTCGGGCGTCCACAGAGATTTTCGCGCCGACCTCCGAGAGTTCACGTCCATGCGCCGCTTCTTGTTCCTCCAGCCGTGGTGACAGATCTGCTGGGCCCGTCCCTGGACGAGCTGCTGGCGGCTCGCCAGGGCAAGAAGTTCAGCGTGAAGACTGTGGCGATGATCGCGGAGCAGCTCGTGGTCCGGATGCAGCACATCCACAGCAAGAACTTCCTCCACCGCGACATAAAGCCCGAGAATTTTTTGATGGGCTGCGGTGACCAGGAGCACATCGTCCACGTCATAGACCTCGGGTTCGCGCGTCCCTACCTGGATTCGAAGACGAAGGAGCACATCCCGCGGCGTGAGGGGAAGAAGCTGACGGGCACTGCACGGTACGTCAGCATCAACACCCACTTGGGTATTTTGCAGAGCCGCCGGGACGACCTCGAGTCTCTCGGCTACATGCTCCTGCACTTGAGAAAGGGGCTCCCGTGGGAGGGCATTCGGAAGCCGGGCGAAGTAGAGCAGGAAAAGTACGAGAAGATCATGGACATGAAGATTTGAAAGGCTGCGCCCTCCTTGTTTCCAGCCCCTAGGTTATTTTGGGGCCCTCTCGGGATCACATTAGATCATCTCGGGGCATCCTGAAGGACTCTTGCTCGGAGCAATTGGGCACACTCCTGTGTCATGTCGGAGCCTGTGGAGATCCACCCTAAGGCCTCTTGGGGGGATCCGGAGACATCATGAGTCCCTGTTGGTCTGTTGGGCCGTCCTGGGCGATCTTGGGGGCGTCTTCTGGCCTCTATACAGTGGAAGCCCATGCCAAGATACAACCTGCTTGCCTCCAGGGTGCCCTGGGTACCTTGGGTTTCGATGGTTTTCTTCTGGAACGCGTGACGCTCCCACACCAGAATTCTATAGACTTCCTGGGGTCTCAGGGTTGGGTTTCTTGTGGAAGGTTTCTTGTAGTCGAGCTCCTACTGTATCGGGGGACTCGTAGTGCCCTTTCGTGAGGTTGTGGGGGCCCCTCTCTCTTGTGCCGTCTTGGTTCTGGAGATCTTTTGCCCCTCGGAGCCCTCCTGGAGTTCTCTTGGACCCTCTTGGCCGTCTGGCGGGGTCCACATTGGAATCCTGGTACTGCTAGGGTCGCGTACCCCAAACCTCGAGCAGGTTTCTTAGTTTAGGAAGGAGGGCAATCTATAGATAGAGAAAGAGGGATGAGAAGGCCATTCCATGGACACCAGCAAGACAGCAGTCCATCAGCCACTTCATAGCCTCGTGGCCCCAGAGCGGGGCCGACCGTTCGAGACGTCGGTGGAGTCCCTGTGCAAGAAGGAGCCCGGCCAGTTCGCCGCGTACATCCGCTACTGCCGGGAGCTCGGCTACGAGCAGGAGCCCGACTACGACTATCTGGTGCAGCTGTGGAAGGGCCTGCTCCTCCAGAAGGCCGCCATCCTGGATGGCGACGGCATGTTCGACTGGGTCCGGCCTGGAGGTCGGGGGTGGCCAAGAGGGGGGTGATAATTAGGGGGGTGGATATGATACCGGAGAAAAAAACCAATCAGGGCTATAGGGTTAGGGGGCTATAGGGCTATTGAGCTATAGGGCTATAGAGCTATAGGGCTATAGAGATGTAGGGCTATAGGGCTATTGGGCTATTGGGCTATAGGGCTATAGGGCTATAGGGCTTAGGGCTATAGGGCACCCCCGGGCACCCCTGGGCACCCCCGGGCACCCCCGGGCACGCCCGGGCACCCGGGCATCCGGGCACCCCCAGGCCCCCCCCCGGGCACCCGGGCCCCGGGCACCCCCGGGCACCTGGGCACCCGGGCGTGCAGCGAAAATCGGCGGCGAACTTAACCATATGAATCCGCTAGGACCCCTACAGAGACAAGCTCTGATTGGGGAATAGCGGCGTGGGCCATATGATCTCTCCCCAGAGCTCATGGCGCCTCTTCTTATTTCATTACGTCCCCTGGCCCCCCCTGGGCCGCGCACATGCCGCGGGCCATGCTCCTCCTTCTCCCCCTTCTCCTCCTCCTCCTCCCTCCCTCCTCCTCTCCTCCTCTCCTCCTCCTCCTCCTCCTCCATCTCCTCCTCCTCCCCTCCTCCTCCTCCTCCCCTCCTCCTCCTCCTCCTCTTCCCCTCCTCCTTCGCCCCCTCCTCCTCCTCCTCCTCCTCCTCCTCCTCCTCCTCCTCCTCCTCCTCCTCCACAATTGCACAATATGAAAATACTCGCCCACTTCCCTGATGGCGTCCCGAAGATGGCCGACCCCCCCCCCCGCGTACTGTTTGTTTACACACAGTATTCCCGGGAAACGGGTTTTCGCCTGCGTTGTTTTCCAAAATGCTGCTCTCGCTGAGGCGCCGGCCTCATTTCTGCTCCCGAATCGTTCCGAATCGTGCTCCCGCTGCAGCGTGGGCCTCATTTTCGGATCGGTGGTTTGCCTCCGTCGTTCAGGATGGCGTTCTCGCCCCAGCGCGGGCCTCTTTCTTCCCTTCTCGTCGCGCCCATCCCCCGCACCACCGCTGCCCACCACCACCCACCACCACCACCAACAACCACCTACCACCACGCTTACCAACGAACCAGCCAACACCACCCCACCACTACCACCACCAGCCACCACCACCATCACCCATCAGCATCCCAGCACCCATCACCATCAACCAGTCAACCTCACCAGCCCAACACCACCACCAGCACCAACACCACCACCACCACCAGCACCACCACCACCACCACCACCAACCACCACCACCACCACCACCACCACCACAACCATGCACACACGCACGCACGCACGCACGCGCACCACCACCCACTACGCACGCGCGCGCGGAGCCACAGGTCCGCTACGACACGCGTCCGCGGATAGAGAAAAATCAGCGCCATGGTAAAGGATGGAAGGGAGGGGTAGGGCGTCAGATATGACGCGAGCGCACCTAGCTTGTCCTCCTCCCCCCCCCCTCCCCCTCCCCCTCCCCCTCCCCCGCTCCCCCTCCCCTCGCCATCCTCCCCCCCCCTCTTGGACTCCGCCCCCCTCCTGGTCGCCCCCGAGGAGGCCCGCCCGCGCGCGCGTGCAGCACGCCGCCGACCTCTGGCGGGCCCGGCGAAGGCGAGGCGGCGGGCGGCGGGGCTGCTGCTGGTGGTGGGGCCGCGGTGGCCGCAGAGCAGGCCCAGCAGGCCCCGCAGGCCTCGGGCCAGCCTCCGTCTCCTCCTCCTCCTCCTCCTACCTCCTCCTCCTCCTCCCCTCCTCCTCCTCCTCCTCCTCCTCCTCCTCCTCCTAACCCTCCTCCACCTTCTCCTACCTCCTCCTCCTCCTCTCCTCCTCCTCCTCCTCCTTCTTCCTCCTCCTCCTCCCCTCCTCCTCCTCCTCCTCCTCCTCCTCCTCCTCCTCCTCCTCCCCCTGCTGCTCCTCCTCCTCCTGCTCCTCCTTCTCCTCCTTCTCCTCCTCCTCCTCCTCCTCCTCCTCCTCCTCCTCTCGCGGTGGCCGCAGAGCAGACCCCGCATGCGGGCAAGATTTGTGTCCATGTCCACTGCGTCTTGGACTTTCGGGGAAGGGGCGCCACAAGGCCGAGGCGCAGTGGATATGGACACAAGGCTAGCCCCCCAAAGGGGCCAGATCTTTCTGCATGTCCTCTGCGCCTCGGGCTCCTGGGGAAGGGGGCGCGAGACTCCAAGCCGCAGAGGGTGTGGATACACATCTGGTCCGCACCGCAGGCCCCGCGGGCCTCGGGCCAGCAGCACCAGCGGCCGCGGCAGGACGACGCCCGGGAGCAGCGGAAGCGCCGGCTGCAGGAGCTGAAGGACGAGGCCGACAGGCTCCCAGGGGCAGCGTGCTGGGAGGTGGACAGGGTCGGGGGGGGGGAGCTCAAGGCTTTGAGGCTTTCGGGCGTTTTCGCCGGCTCTCGGCGGGTTTCTGGCCTCGGGGCGCCTTCCAGCGGCTGTGCCTCGCCGACGGCATGCTGGGGGTGCCCAGATCGTCCCGAGAGACCGCCAGGGATCCGAGTTCGTTGGCCCGAAAGCC